CCTTGAATACATTGTTTAAGGCTACTTTTTAAAATCTGAATATTACTTTAATCTAATCGAAGAAAAAAAAAATGATAAATGCAATTGTGAAAGTAATGAAATAGTCAGAATAGAGGATGTTTAAATAGAAAAAAAAGGATTATATGAGTTTATATCTCAGAAACCTAATTGTTAAGAATTTTTGTTATCAGGTTGGATTAAAATTTAGGAAATTATTTAAATAGAAGAAGAATTATATTATTAATTATTGAGATTATCAAGTAATTTTCAGAATCATCGATTGATTGATGCAAATTTGTGTGCATTTTAATTATTTTACAAATTATCTTCATCAAGAAACTAAATAATAATAACTACTTATAGTTATACTTTTCCATCTGTCAATATAGATTTTTCAAACAATCCTTTCCTAAAAACAGAAAAAATTGATATAGAAGACTTGGATATATAATTATGGCATTATATTCTCGTAGAAAAAATATAAAACTTAATTTCAGTTTCAATAAAATTTTATAAGGGCTTTGATCAAAAAGAATTTAATGTTAATTTTTAAGTAATATAGTTTAATATGATGTAATTTAAATTGTTTTACGGAAATATTTTGTAACCTGAAAATAACTTTTTAACAATATAAATTATAGGATTTTAATTAATAAATTGTCTTAATGATAGTAAACCATAAATTAGTTGTCATCCTACTTGTTAAGAATGTGATGGTCCAAGAAGAAATGATTGTTTATCTTGTTTTGAATAATCACACAGAAGATTTTTAGAAGATTTTAAGGAATGTATTTGTGAATATGGAACCATAGATTAAAATGATGAATGTATTAATTATTAAGCTTTATAATTTACTTTAATTTAAGAAGAAACTAAATTAGAAAAATGCCAATATGGTTTTTTTGAATATGAAGATGATTGTATTTAATGGTATTTTTTATTATATAAAATTAAGCCCTTCAATAATTAATAATGATTTAATAACATGTTTGGAATGCTTATAGAATCCTAAATAGTGGGCTTAAACATTTTTATGTGATACAAATTTATTTACAAATAAAAATGGAAATATTGCATAATATTTTTAAGAAAATCAATTAAAATATTATTTATTAGGTATTGATTTACAATACTGCTCAGATTGTGAAGTTTCAATTCCAAATTATAATCATTTTGAATAAATATTTGAATTTAAAACTTTCTGTGAAATCTCTTAAAAAATAAATAATGATTGCTATTTTTGTGGAGATTGGTGCGATGAATGTTAAATTTTATCAACAAATTTAAATTGCACTCAAATATACATTAATCGTTTATTTGGGGGTTTTATTTACCAAAAAGAAGAAGCATGTGACCCTCCAAATTTTCGAGATTTTTCAAGTAAATGTTTTGAGTGTAAAATAACAAATTGTTTATATTGTTTTAATTATTTAGCAAGTGATCCTACAAAAACTACACTTGGTTTCAAATAATATTTAACATTAATTGATGAAGAGATTAAAGTAGGATGTGCATAATGTATAGAGGGATTTATTTATAAATTTTAAACAGGAGAATGTATTAATTAGAGACCTTCCTAAGAAAATTGCCTTCGATCCTTTTTTAATCTAGAAAATTAAGAAGTTTGCACATTATCAGCAATAAATGATTTTAATATTGCTTTTGAAATCATAAACTGTTAAAATTAAATTCTAAATTGTTTACAATGTATTGAAACCCCATAATAAACTCTGAGATGTTTAATTTGTTAAGAAGGTTTTTACGCTTAAACTCATTCAGGAATCTGTTTAAAATGTTTTTATTCTTACGCTAAAAAATGTAGTGAATCTAGCAATTTAGAATATTGGAAATGGTTTATTCAAGGTTTTATAATGAAATTCTTGCCAAATCGACCTATTTTTTCTGGTTATTTAGAATAAATTCCTATTTAAGCCATTGAATGCATAAAAGGGTATAAGTTATTAAATAAAAATTGTTAAAAATATTGTGATGACAATTGTGCTGTTTGTGAAAGTTTAGATGTTGAAAATTTTTCTTGCTCCAAATGCTCATTAAACTATTATAAAGAAACAATGAAGGTATAAGTTGATGGGAAATGTATTCAATGTCCTTCGTTATGTCAAGTTTGCTAAAATAGATCAAATGAAGAAATAAAAGTAAAAATATTTCTTAAAATAGAAAATAAATCCATATTTTACTATAACTCGTGGAAATATCATGTATGCATTTAAATGCATCTAAAAAATTCCTTTAGAATTAGTTTAGATAGATCCAAACCTACAAATTGCTTAATATTGTTTTGAAAATAATTGCAATTATAATTTAGAATATGATTATGTATTTTATTATTTAATTTAGAATGATGTCACTTGTAATCATCTAGACTCTATTTTACTAGATTTATAAAATGTCTATAATTATATATATTCTAATGAAATTGGCCTCAAGTAAGTTACTTTATTACTTTAAATAAAGGAGGATTGTATTTTTTATGGTTTTGATTAATATATTGAGAATGACTTTAAAGAACAAATATTTTCTATTTAATAAACTAATTTGAAGATTTAAAGTAACAATTATCCTTTAATAGTTTTTAATTATTTATATCTAGATATTTTAAAATTTGATTCAATCATTTTCAGCCATCTTCAATTTTAAATTAATCTTGAATTGGATATAAAATTTTCTAATGATTTATAACCTATTAATTTAAATATTCATGATACAGAATTTTATTCAATAGATAATAATCTGGCATAAATGTCAATTAAAGCAGATAAATTCCTTAATTTTAAATTATAAAATATATCAATTTTTGATATAAGCATAGTAAATTCATTAATTTTCGATATAATTTGTGTTGATTAGGGAGATGATCTTATAATTACAAATTTTTTAATTAGAAATTGTATTTTAACTAATTCAACATTATTTTAATTTTAAAACGGGAAGAGAAACATTTAAATCAAACATATCATCATAGATTCTTGTTAATTTTATAATTCAACTTTTGCAAAATTCAATTTTAATTAAAATGAACTTTCATAAGCCATATTTAATGAAGTTTCTATAAGTAACTCTCTTTTTCAAAATTCAAGTCTAATACATAGTACTGAAAAAACTGCAATTCATGTATTTGATATCTCATGTTCATAAAATTAATTTATGAAATCAAAATTCATAATATTTAACTATGACTTTTATTGTTATAATTTTTTATTCAAGTAAAATAATGTTAATTCATTTTAATTAATATCATAAATCTCATCCATACAAGAAAAGTAAGAAATTTAGATGAATAATATTTAGATGTATGAAAATACTGTAAACTATTTTTCTATTTTTATTACTGAATAAAAACAATCAATAACATAAGTGATAATTTCATTAATAAACTTTTATTTTTAAGATAATGTTATTACTTGTAATTAAGAATAATAACTTATCATTTTTAATTGCTATAGCTTGATAATGAAGAATATTTT